GATATGGTTCTTGGTTCTCAGACTACCAATCGCGCATTTCAATGCGTGATAGGCCAAGGGACCAAGTGTGCCATTTTGATTTCAAATGTAATGCAATGCATATAAACATACAAGGGAGCCTTCAACCTTTATCATGGCTTGATCAAGAGGTGAGGCATGCATGCCAATGTAATGCAACTTAGGCATGTGAACTAGGCGTGCAATATGAACATGCAAGCAAGTAATGATGCTAGGCACACAACCTAAGGAATCAATCATGCAAGGCATGGAAAGACAAGCATACAAAATGTAATGTGGGCATGCAAGTAGGCAAGGCATGTGAGAACATGTTAGGCAACTTAACCAAGATAAATGCATGCCAAATGCAAAGCCACTTAAACATGCAACAACACATGATAAGCCAAGTATGCAATCAACACACAAGGTGAGCATGCCACAACATGCAAGAATGGACTTAGACTAATTTAGGCAGCCCTCAAACAAGCCTAAAACAGTGGCAACCATGCTCAAGGATGGAAGCCAAAATACATACAAATAGGCATGCATGCAAGGTCCAACACTTAGGCACGTAGGGACAACTTTTAAGCACACTTAAAAGAGGATAAACATGGACCAATGGCATGCATTATAAGCTCTGAAATTGCATGGAAAAGAGGTGCCAAACTGACCAATCAACACAAGCAAAGCATGCAAGCATGGCCAAAACTCAAGGCAAGCTAAAAGGGTATTGAACTACACTTAGCAAAATTAAACATGGTAGGATTTAAACAACTGAAGTCAGGGTTTTAGCATGTCAAAATGAACCCCGAGAACCACATAGATGGCATCTAAATGAGTTACACATGGAAGCATACAAGAAGCCGAACATGGAGCATAAGATGGCAACCTTATAAAGCATTAAAGGGACATCAAATGTAAGCATACAAGCATGCCATGAGGACTGAAATGACATGCTAAGCGGTTCCAAACCATTGAAATGATACAAGCAATGCATGCTCCACACTCACACACCCAAGGCCTACAAACCAAAATGCAAGGTGACTATACTAAGCATGTCATGGTCGACCAAATAAACCAAAAACAGAGCTTAAGCATGCTAAAACGAGCACAAAAGCTTCACAAAGCTAAGCCAAAAGCATGCTAAACAAGGCTCAAACCACAAGGCATGTTAAGGCAATCCATGGCATTACAAGACATGTATGCAAGGCAAGCATAGTGTGTCCAAACCAAGTAAAAACAGAGGTAATATATGGCAAAATACTACCAAATAATACTTAAGACATGGCCAACATGCACTTAGAAATGATACTCACACATGAGGCTATAATGGCCATTATTGAAGACAACAAGGAGAGGGGATGGCCCTCTCCTTCTTAGGACCTCAAGGCACCATCCTCACTACTGAAATCCCTCAAGATTTTAGTGGTGAGGAGGCCCAAACAAAGTGGTCCCGGAACTCACCAAAATAGCACAAAAATAGGGCCAAACAAGGCCTAAGAGGGGTCAAATAACCCTAAACAACAAAACACTCTTAAACAACTATTTAGAGCAAGCAAAAACAAGAATTTTATATGTTATAATCTAATCTCGAAAACAGGTGTAAGGTAGTCAAAAAAGCTATGCAAAAATGGGGAATAAAGGGCAAGAACACTCACCCTTGAAGAACACTTCCAAGATCACAAGACCAGACCTCTTCTTGGATCAAAACTAGCTTAAAAAGTTCAAGATCAACTCTCTAATGCCTCAGCAACTAAGGAAAGGTGTAATGGTAGGTGTTTGTGTGTAATAGTAAGAACAAACACACACTAATACACCAAAAGGAGGAAGAGATATAGAGATAGAGTATATGTAAACCCTAACCCTAAAACTCAGAGCTCTGGAGCTTTTTTTTGTCAACCCTAATGAAGGGAGAAGAGGCTCCCTCTTATAGAGTTCACTCTTGCAAAGCTTTTCAAGTAAGCTAGTTAAGAGGGAGATCCCTCCATACACGTGTATAGAGGGGAGCAAAATGTATGCCAGCTAGCACAGCTGGCATAAAAATATCTGCAAAAGCAGGTGAACAGTGGTCGGCCAGCCAAAAATGCAATTTGACCAAAATAGATGGCCGGTCGACCATCTAAAGTGCCGGTCGGCCAAACATTTGGCCGATGGCAACAAAACACAGCCGGTGGCCTCAAGCCATGGCCGGTGGAGTGTGGGGATGGCCAACAAGCCATTCCCTACCCTCCAAAGCAAAAACACAAGTGTTTAGTGCAAACCCAAACACAAAACAGTCGAGTCGAGAGATCCTGAGGCAAGGCGCGTAGCCGAGACCTCCGGGAACTCATGACGAACACAAACAAGGATGATCACCGAGTGTTCAAACGGTGACGTCCAAGTCTTGAGGACGGTCAAAAATGGGGTGTTTACACCACCTCTTGGTTGCACTCGGGTATTCGGTTGAACACCTCATAATACCTTTTTGCATAGGCCCTTAGGCCTTCATCCTTGCTGATTCTCAGAGCCATTAAAGCATCTACCCTTAATGGCTGTAGTTTGTTTGTCATGAACCTGGCCACAAACATCTCGGCCAGGCCTTCCCAGGTCTTCACACTTTCCTTTGGCAATTTGTGAAACCAATCTGATGCAATCTCCCCGAAGGATGAGGGGAATACCTTGCAGAGCAACGGCTCGTTCCTAGTGTATAGTGCCATCGAGTTTAGGTATAATCCAACGTGAAAGTTAGGGTCTGACTTTCCGTCATATATCTGGAACCTCGACATACTGAATCTTTTTGGGGCCTCAAATTTGTCCAACTCTACTAAGAATGGTGTTTTCGGTTTAACAGGGGAGGTTACCTCAGCATCTTGTTGCTCCCTCTTGAGGTAATCTCTCAAGTCTGCCTTTGTCCACCCAGGAGCTCGATTATCTCCTAATTTCAATCTTTTTGGTGCACTACTTTCAGCTTCATTGTGAGCCATCTTCGACCTTTCTTCATGAGTTGTGTCGAAGCACAACGCCTGCCTTTGAACATGCCGATGTTCTTTGGGGTCTGCCTCCTTGGTGCGATGTGTCATTCGAGATTCTTCCCTCCTCGACTGTCCTTGCCCGACCTCCCTTGAAGGCCGGTGAGAGTGTCTTTCGCTCCTGGTGTGCTGGGGGGCTATAGGGGTTGTTTTCTACCCTCCCTTCTGGGCATTGGCCGCCGGAATCGGCGTGTCCTACAGTGGGAATGGTGGCTGCATGACGTTGTTTTGCATCATAAAATTGACGACCGATTGCAGGTAGCCAATTTGTTTGCCATCCCTTTTACCTCTTCCTCCCTTCTCAGGCATCTATCATTCCATACCTGGAGGTCGTTCTCATTGTAATACCCGCTTCGGTTCGTTTTCTATGGTACGTTGCCATCCTGGCCAACGTTTTCCTTACCGTGATTCTGGTTCTGAGTCTCTTCGTTGCAACCATCTTCCTCCATGTTAGGGTCTACGTGTTTACCGTTCCTAGCAGGGATTTCGTCCCCCACCTTATCTTTCTGTCCATCACTGGTCATCTATTCTCCTTTCTTTCCCACAGACGGCGCCAAATTGTGAGTGAATTTCTGACCACACTGCCAACTCAGTATTCAGTTGGAGAACACTGGTAGAATAGATGGCTCCTGATTGACCTGCAACAAGAAGAAGAGATTCCGGCGGTGGTTCGTTCACCCGGGGGTACTCTGACGATCAAGTCAGTTATCTCTCAAAGATAAATCAAGTGCTTAATTCACTGTTCAGAATATAAATTGCGTACCTTAGACTCATGGGGGTGCCTCTCTTTTTATAGTTTACACAATCCTAGCCCCAATAGAAGCCTAGCTTCCATGGACTTTAGCTCAATGTTCATCTTGGACTCTGCAACGGATAAAGATAAACTCTCTAAGAGTTTTATCCTTATCTAAGCTGAGATCTTTCTTCATTCTAGGACTCTTGTCCTTTATCCGCTTATCCCGGATTCCGATATCTTCGAAGATCTTCTCGGCCTAGCCGAGATCACCTCGGCGTCACGAAGAGGACACGTGGCATCTCGCCTGATACGTCGGCGTCACCTCGGCTACGTGTTGGTACTCAGAAAATATATCCCCACATTTGGCATAAAAACAAATAAAAAGAGAAAGTAGAGTTATTCTATACTTTATCATTAACTTCTGTGGCTAAATTACACATGCTTCTCTTAAAATTTAATGAAATTACAGAAAATTTTCTTAAATCCCATGAGATTTGAATTTCAATTGCACTACGTTTTCCTAAAGATTTAATGAAATGTAGAAATTTTCCCAGAGGTTTAAAATGACAAAAATCCCTCTTAAGGTTAGTTTTCACTTACACTAATCTCAAGGAAGGGTTTTGGGTGTTTTGAAAAGATAATTAAAAATTGACTTTTTGACTTTTTTTAAATTTTTTTGAAAAAATATGTAAAAAATGTAAGAGATGATATGACCTAAAATCAGTTAAAACTTTTAACTCATTTTCCAAAAAAGGCCTCTCTCATTTTAAAAACTTCAGGAGAGGTTTCTACAATTTTATTAAATTTCAAAGGAGGTTAGTATAATTTACCAAACTTTTATTTAGGGTTGATGAAACAAACCATATTGCTGGATTTCGACTCATGTAATTATTTAAAAACATATTCGAGATTGACTTATTAATAGGTAAATATTCCATAATCCCAGAGTATAGACACGAAATATTGTGATTGGTGGAGAATGTGGATACATGGGATATTGTGTTGGGTAATTGAAGAATATAAGGGTCATATTGAATGATAATTGGCTACAGAGTACAGACACGTAGTATTCCGAAAACATTTTATAAAGTAAACAAATTAAACTTATTTTAAAAAATTTAACATAATTTTAATCTATTTAACATAATTTTAATCTTGTTAAATTTTCAAATCAAATTTTAACAATATCTATAACAATAATCAATAAAAGCAGCAAAACTTGCCTCTAACGTCAGTGTAGTGTGTCTAAGGTAGGTGAGATGCCAAATTCACCCACCCTTGATGAAGATTGCCCCACAAGGTATGCACTTTTTGGGGCTTCTTCAGCAAGCTCGGCGAAAGATGATCTTCTCAAACAAGCTGGCCTTCCTTCCTCCATAAGTTGTTCTATTTTAAGAGGATTGTTGGGTTGGCTTGATGCAAATTGCGTTGTCAATCTGGTTCAAGAAACAGATGAGGTATGCCATTTCTCAACTTCCATATTCCATTAGTTGTGCAATCAAATTCTTTTACTTCCATTATTATCCTATGGTTGCTTGATTGAGAACTGCCTTGGGCTCTTTGTGTTTGAGTTTGGTTTGTCATCACATTACATTGAATTGGATTAGTGGTCGTTGATTTTTCCTTTTTATACATTTGTTCTTTGCCATCCAACTATTTGATGCAATGCTTAAAGTAGCAAAAAATCATCGCAAAACCTATACGAAATTAATTTTCCCTTTTATTGTTGCTGCTGCTGGTATTCTTCTTTTGACGTGGAAATGGTTACTAGGCTCTTGTTTTTGCTTTGACAAAAATGTTCAAAACAACTTGACTCATGCTCCAGTCTTGTTTAGACTTGATACACAGTTTGTTTTCCCCTTGTATTCTTCCCTTTATGCAGCTTGCCTTCTTCACAACCTGAAAGGAGCAAGCATTGGAAGAACTGACGTGGGTAAATTAGTTTTCATTAGATTATGTTTTGAAGTTATTCATGCAACAGTGTGGTTGTGCACTTTCACTAAATATATATACACACACTAAAAAGTGTGTACCACCATATCACGGTGCTTAAAATGGGTATTTACTAATCAATAAAATCTAATAGATTTTGAACAAGCTACCTGAAACAAGCAAAGATACATCAATAAAAACTTGAACACTGATCAAAATGAATGAATCTAATACATTTTAAACACAAGCAGCCCGAAACAATCACAAACCCATCAATATAAACTCAAATACTAATCGAAATTAATGAATCTAATACATTTTTTGCCTGAAACAAGCCAAAAACCCACAAACATAAACTTGCTTTGCAAATTATTTTGGGTCATTTTTCAGCAGACTATTGGGTTTTTGTTTTATAATTCATTGATTCCAATATTTTTATTTACAGGTTTCCTCCAACTGCTGCCACTGTCAACTCCTCTCTACTGCTTGGTATCTGCAGTCTCCATATATGGTATTGAACCTATGCAATTTACAAACATGATTGCTATTTAAATTTGAAATCTTGGTTATGAAATTGAGAATCCAATCACAAAAATGGGATTTTTAGGCAAGTAGTCTACATGGTTGCCAATGTATTTGCATGGTGTGATGCGCGATGAGCTTATGAATATGATTGGTTTTTATGTACATTTGTTTCCTGAGTGTAGAGTGTAACAACCCTCACTTTGTCTCAGTCATGCTCATGTGAATTTGCATGATCCTTGTCTTGATTAAACTTGCATTTTTGCAGACCTTGATTTGTTTTATCTAAGTGTTGCTTGCATGCTTTGTCCCTTGCTTAGTGTGTGTTAAGCCGAGGTCATTTTAAGCCTAGGTCACACCTTTGAACCTCTTACACCTAGGACCATCTTGGAACCACTTTGGTTGACCTCCACCTTCACCCTGGCGTCTTGGCCAAGATGTCATCATCTAGGCCGAGATGTTACCATCTAGACATCCTAGATCTTTGACCTTTGCACCTAGTGATCTTGTTCCTGGACTGGTATGACCTAGACCGAGGTGTGGCACAGCTGGGCCAAGTGTTGTCCTTCCTAGCCGAGATCATTGAGACCTTACTTGCCGAAGCCTATGTCTTGACCCAAGGTCCTTACCTTGTTAGAGTGCTCTTGTCACTTTGCTTGTTGTATACACTTTGTCATGCACTTGTCTTGTCAATCAGCCACCCTTTTTGAGGGGAACCAACCAGTTGTTGCCACGTGCCTCAGCAGAAGGTTAAGTTAGCCAGCAGAGTGAGAAACTTATCATTTTGTCATATCTTTGTCCTAGAAGAGAGAGAGAAGCTCTAGGAAGAGAGGAAGAAAAGTTCTTAGAGAGAGAGCTAGATTCCAAGCTTGATCTTCACACCTTGAGCTGTTAGATCCGTGTTTTGAGGTTAGAATCTTGATATGCTCTTGCTGTTCTCCATGTTCGTCTAATCACATTGCATGATCTAGTATTATTCATGAGCCATGCATTGATTTAAAGCTTGTTTTAGAAAGAGAAAATGATGTTCTTGTGTTCTTGAAATAAAACCATGTTTTGATCCGAAAGTTTGTATCAAGATTCTTGTTTTGTGTTTATTTTCATAAGATCTTCGAGTCTGGGTACCCAGGTCCATGTTTTCGAACTCATCTCATGAAATCTCGGATTTTGAATAAAGAAGTTATGATTTTAGCATTCATGTTCTTCATGTTCTTCATGTTCATGTTCTTCATGCCCTTCAAGGGGGAAAACCCAGATTTCCAGACTCCATTTCCCTGAATGTGGTCATCGGGACTGCACCTCGGCCAAGAGGTGTGGGACCTCGGCCTAGACCTCGTTGGTGCCCAGCATGTTTTCTTGAGATGAGAAACAGTGTTTTAACTCCCAGCACATGTCTTGTCTTGCCTTGACTTGGCTTTGAAAGAAATGCCGAGATCATTTACACTCATGCAAAGCTTGTTTTAGGAATGCATTTCATATCCATTCTTGAACATCTCTTCTTGTCTTCTTAAAATGCATTCAATGGGATTTATTATGTACTTGTAGGCTTTGGATCCTTGCTTGTAATCCCCACAACCGAAGAGCTATGTGAGTGATATTTTTAATAAAGCTATGTTATAAAGTTTTGATAAAGCTTTGCTTTGTTTTAAAAAAGTGTTTGTTCAAGTATGAATGATTATCCCTAGTTTTGTATTAAGCATTATCTTGTTTTGATGACATTCTTGGAAAGTCCTTAGTGCTAGGGGACTATAATGCAACTAGTACCATTGTTTGAGATATCTCCCTTGCCACCGACGGCCTTGTGCGGGTGGGTTTGTCTAATCGATTCCTGGTCGATTATTCCCTTGTTTTGTTAGGAATGTCATCCCATGTATTATATTGATGCTAATAAGCATCCCTTGAAGCTTTGAAAGACTTGATAGATGAACTTGGTTCATCCCTTGATTTTGTACAAGCTATGATATGTATTGTTTGATAAAGATCTCGGATATCATTCATTTAAACCTTTATTAATTATATCATTCACTGAGTATCCAAGCTCACCCTCTCCTTATATATATGTAGGTGACGAGTAAGAAGGCGGTGACGCCTAGATGTGTTTTACAAGATGTTTTGGATTCATGTTTCGTATCATCTTGAATATTATGCTTCTTAGCTCTGTGTTACATGTCTTTGTATATGTCGACTTGAGAAGCCTTTTGATCAAGATGTAATATGTACTCGATTTTATTTTGTATTCAAGTTGCAAAACCATGTTAAGATGTATGTCATTTCATTTGATCTATGCACAGCTCTTATGGACTACTTAGATTTAAATTTATTACTTCCGCACATGTAAGCCCTATATGTATACTTTGATTGTGTGTGACTTTGTAAGTTGGCCTTTGGTAATCTCGGATTACTGGCCATCACGACACCATTCTACTAGGGGCGGAATGGGGTCGTGACATAGAGTGCTGTGGATACCGCGTTGGCAGAGTCCGAGTGTTATGGGCTGGCCGGCTCAGATGTTCGAATGTCCTGTTTCATTAACAAGGTTGATAGCTTTTCTTAACGCAATTGAACATGTAATTAGTCACACGTCAAATATATAAATATAGATGTATGTGTGTGCATACAAATATATGTGGTTTGTTTGGTGGTCTGACAACTGAGCATGGAATCTGTAGGCTTTAGTACATGTTGGTAGTGAACTTGCAAAGCTCGTCCTTGGTCGAGTTTCAACAGAAGTGGATGCTTGTCTTGCATTGTTAGGAAGGTATTGATTGTTGGAAAATTTGAATTTAAATTTACTCCAATGGTTGTATCTCTTGAGATGAAAGGGTGTGTCCTTTTGAAGGGTCATAACCGTTCTGAAGAGTCACATAAAAGTCTTTATATTCCATCTCCCTCACTTCATTTTGAGAAGAGAATTGTCATTTTTCTTCTTCACTTTGAATTTATTCTTCATATTTCCTGAGTCTAATTTTCCTATAAAGAGAGTACATACACATCGAAGTTCGCTAGGCTTGCAATAGTAGTGCTGCTAGTGCAAGACATTGATCGTTATATCCTGGGAGATAGACGTCCATTGAATCCTAAGCACCGGTGGGAGGACGAATCTGTCTTAAGATTGTTAGAAAAATTGCTTGAACTAAATAACAAGATGTAAACTGTTTTGTGAATATAATCACAATACTAATTTGTCTAAAATATAATTCGACTTTATAACTTGCTTTTGCAGTACAAAAAAAGAAATGATTAATACCGGGTGTGGCCACAACACTTTGTCAAATAACATTTCTTTAGCCATGATTAATTTCTTTTTGTTTACTGCAACCCTTAATTCCAATCTCAACATGGAATATAAATATCACTGTATAAATACATTTACATCTTATTTGTCATCCAGTATTGTGGACTATGTCGACAATTACCAAAGTGTCTTTCACCCATGAAATATTTTAACTCATATAATATTTCATTATGGAGTTATCAGTCACCATACCAATTTTAGTCATTATTCCAAAGAATAATCAGAATTCCTTTTATGTCAAAACACATAAGTTTACATTTTTATCAATACTTTGATAAATAATTGACAGCCATTTATATTACACCACATATCAAATTGATATTAATGACATCATAAATTGTCAACTCTACAACATATGTAGACATAGACAAGATTAACAAATCAAAGATAATCATAATTGTCCAATTAATCTCTCTTTGATAAATAATTGACAGCCATTTATATTACACCACATATCAAATTGATATTAATGAAATCATAAATTGTAGAACTGGAAACTTGTAGAACTGGAAACTTGCAGCATGAATAGATCTTACCATGATAAATATTTGTTTATGTAATGTTAGTTAGTCATCATTCGAATATATGATATTAAAAAAAAAAAAAAATGATTTGTTCAAATCACTTATGTTTTGTGCATTGTTTATTTGGAAAACAAATGGTGTTTTTGTGTAGATAATTGTTTGAAATTTACTTCCATGCACCTATGAATTTTGAAAACGGTTTCAAATTTTTTTTTTTTTAAAAAAAAACGTTGAGGGTGTGCCTGCAGTTCCCATCACTGCTTTAATCAGGGAAAAGTGCACACAATTGCAAAGTGCACGTTGACTTGCTTATTGATTCATGGAAAGAATAAGGACCCATACCTCTTTTTCAAAATCATGATTGGTGATAATTTTTTCAAATGTTTTGATATAGTTATATTTCTACAATTCCTTGTAAGTTATTTTAAAATACTGTTTCTCTAACACTTTGGTGTCGGTTCAAGAAGTTTTGGGTTTGGTCCCAACACCTTTACACCCCCATTCCCAAAATGTATGGTCACTGCATACTTCTTAATCTAAAAAAAAATACCTTGTTTCCAAGGGTCTGTTTAGGATGGGTGGTCTTTTGGGGTTTGGAAGTGTTGAGAATTGATGCTGCAATTTTATTTGTAAAATGTTTGAAGGTTATGTTTTGAGATTCGGTTTCCTTCAGAAATCTTCCCCTATGAGGAAGAAGATCCATATGATAGGAAGTGCCATATGACACTCCAAACAGCAGCAGTATACAATGGTCTCTCTAGATTGTAGTTTAATGGGTTGGCGCCACTGTTATGTTTATTTATTTTAAAATCCTTGTTTTGGATTTAAGAAAAGACCCACACGATTTAGTATACAATATTTGTGGAAGTTTCATAAATTCTGTTCTACTAAATTCTGATTCTAGTATTAATTTTTCAAAATACTGATTTTTGAGAACACAGTTGTTGCTAATATGATTTTCAACCTAAATACAAATTTTATTTTTATTTTTTCTGTGCATCGTTTCAGTCAAGCCGTATTTTCTGTTTCCATCTATTTGTTAATGTATGGAAAATAGAATTAGTTTTTTTTTTTTTTCTTTCCTTTGTGATATGAATTCTTATTCAGTGCTACTCATTTGCAAATATGATTGAATTGTTTTGTATCATAAGGCAGTTAAACTATTATGATTGGTTTATCAAACATATATAGTACTTTGATGTCGAATTATTATTTAATTTTGACAACTTATGGACATCATGTAGTCATGAAATTATTATGGAAAATTGTGTGATATATGTGTTAATTTTTTGACTGATTTATTTTCAGTGACCAGTCTGGGATTTAAATAATATTTTGTTTAAAAGTTTGTGAAATTTTAATTAATTTCTGATTGTGATGATGACATATCAATGGATCTTTTTTGAAATATTATATGTGTAATTTGATTGTGCTAGTAATATTCTTGTAACATCAAAGCAATCATTAACACTGAAAATTTAAACATGATATTTTCAATTAATTGAAAATAAATTGAGGAATCTTTTGTGTTGATTATTATTTGTTAATAATCAATTGAAAGTTATTTTTAAAGTAACTTCGAATTTTATGAGATAAGATGTCATCAATCTTTGTTTCACTTGTGTGGTAGAATTGGTTTAACCATGAACCATAATATTAATGTGGGAATTTATCTCTTGAATTAAAAGAGATAATTTAATTTTCTTTTGTTACAAATATTCTTGAATGAATAATGTATGAATTTATCAAAAATGAGTTATTATTTGTGACAGTGACACTTGTTTCGGCAATGAATCATGTTGTTTGTGCTAATTTATGTATTATCACAAATGTGGGGGAGAGAGATTAATTGGACAATTATGATTATCTTTGATTTGTTAATCTTGTCCATGTCTACATATGTTGTAGAGTTGACAATTTATGATGTCATTAATATCAATTTGATATGTGGTGTATTATAAATGGCTGTCAATTATTTATCAAAGTATTGATAAAAATGTAAACTTATGTGTTTTGACATAAAAGGAATTCTGATTATTCTTTGGAATAATGACTAAAATTGGTATGGTGACTGATAACTCCATAATGAAATATTATATGAGTTAAAATATTTCATGGGTGAAAGACACTTTGGTAATTGTCGACATAGTCAACAATACTGGATGACAAATAAGATGTAAATGTATTTATACAGTGATATTTATATTCCATGTTGAGATTGGAATTAAGGGTTGCAGTAAACAAAAAGAAATTAATCATGGCTAAAGAAATGTTATTTGACAAAGTGTTGTGGCCACACCCGGTATTAGTCATTTCTTTTTTGTACTGCAAAAGCAAGTTATAAAGTCGAATTATATTTTAGACAAATTAGTATTGTGATTTTATTCACAAAACAGTTTACATCTTGTTATTTAGTTCAAGCACGCCAATTAATGATATATTTTGATTTACCTCAAAATTGTGTGGGTGTATTAATATTTTTGTGCAGTTATACACCAGCAAGAGAAATTAAGTTTCCTTGGAATGCTTAAAATGTGGGGGTGCTTGAAGTATTTTACCAAAATAACGGTTCCGATTGTAGGTCCATAAAGAATCTCAATTCTTTCTATAGGACAAAATTGGAGTAGAAGCAAAAATGGTTTCATTAACTCCTAAAAAACAATTCTATGTTTATTATTTTAAATTTGAAAATGGGAGTGACATAGAGTAACAGTAAGTGCTGTGGATACCGCGTTGGCAGAGTCCGAGTGTTATGGGCTGGCCGGCTCAGATGTTCGAATGTCCTGTTTCATTAACGAGGTTGATAGCTTTTCTTAACGCAATTGAACATGTAATTAGTCACGCGTCAAATATATAAATATAGATGTATGTGTGTGCATACAAATATATGTGGTTTGTTTGGTGGTCTGACAACTGAGCATGGAATTTGTAGGCTTTAGTACATGTTGGTAGTGAACTTGCAAAGCTCGTCCTTGGTCGAGTTTCAACAGAAGTGGATGCTTGTCTTGCATTGTTAGGAAGGTATTGATTGTTGGAAAATTTGAATTTAAATTTACTCCAATGGTTGTATCTCTTGAGATGAAAGGGTGTGTCCTTTTGAAGGGTCATAACCGTTCTGAAGAGTCACATAAAAGTCTTTATATTCCATCTCCCTCACTTCATTTTGAGAAGAGAATTGTCATTTTTCTTCTTCACTTTGAATTTATTCTTCATATTTCCCGAGTCTAATTTTCCTATAAAGAGAGTACATACACATCGAAGTTTGCTAGGCTTGCAATAGTAGTGCTGCTAGTGCAAGACATTGATCGTTATATCCTGGGAGATAAACGTCCATTGAATCCTAAGCACCGGTGGGAGGACGAATCTGTCTTAAGGAGAGAGTGTCACACACTCGACTCGATCAGGTTTTATCTATTTAGTTTTATCACGTTATTGTATCGATTTATTTCAGTTTTGGGTTTGCCCAAAAATCGTTTGCATAATTTTAAATTATATTTTCCATATAGTTTGGTACTAATTTTTCTAACATTGATTTCTTCCAAGTGCGTGTTTTTTTGTTTCAATTTTTCATCGTGGTGTGTTCTATTGGCACCATTGGCAGGATGTGTTTGCTGCAGCTCTCATAAGTCTGTTCTTTGGCTGCTAATCATTCAATAGAAGAGCAAATTGAATCATATCCGCGATTCGGTATCTTATATATATTACTTAAAATCTGTATAATTTATTATTACAGACATTGTTGTTGCAACATTTTGTTATCTGCAGTTCTTCCCACCTCCAAATGATAGTAATGGTAGCTTCTTCATTTTTCTTTTTGGTAATTTAATTTTTCTTTCTGTTCCTTTTCAATGAACCTTATAAGTTTTATGTGCTTCAACGTCTTTGGAAAAATTATAAATAAAGTATGCGTTGCCATGAATCTTGACTTTCGTTTTTTCTTTCTAATTTCCTATTATTTTTTTAATAGCGGGGCAGGGAATTTATTTTAAGAATTCTTGAATGAGAACCTATAACTCGGCCATCCTGTGAATAGACCTCAAGTTTTGAGTACGAGTCGGCAACAAATGGGTCGACACAGGGATGCATTTATGCTTGTAAGCTGCTCATCAATGGATGGCATTGAATCTGGCACAAAAGTAATTTGTATGCGTTGGAATTTATTTTAGGTGTAGTTGTTTGTTCTAGCCAAATTAGGAGGCTTGGTGAATATTTTGTTTGGCTCTAATCTGGTCCTTTATAGAGTAGATAAATCATAGATATTTGTAATCAATCATTTATCACTTGTGGAGGAACAATCACCTTATTTGTTTTTAATTTTTTAAAAATTGAATTTTTTATTTTCATATTTTTTATTGTTTGTTTTAGTGACTTTTTTAATATTTTAAGCAAATTCACCATACTACTCATTTCTACAAGTATGGATTATTGAAAAAATAAGACACGCGTTTGGATATTTTCCTTCAATCTCGCTATATAACATATTTGACATAAATAGTTGAAGGATCTCGCTATATGACATATTTGACATAAATAGTTGAAGGAAATTCTTCGAAAGAGAGAATGGATTATGGAAGTGGGTGATTTGAACAATTGATTGGTCTATACATATATATCTTTATCCATTTGTCATATTAGATTTGATAATAAAATATATTTTCGTTCCAACTATTGTGTAAGCCTATATAAAGGAAGAGCATATTTTTTATTAAAAACATTTAACTAAACACATAAGAAGATCTGCTACTTACAACTTTGTGTAACAAGATTACCAACTTTGCCTATCAATTTTGCATAAAGAGCAACAATTCTAGACATAAAAATCTGTAAAATATCTAAAATTTTACATCAATATTTAAACTATGCGTTCACAATACCAGCTTTAAATATCAATCATAAATTTGTTTTTTTTTTCTTTTTTGATTTTATTTATGGGACCATAGAATTACTATTCTGTAAATGTTAAAACTACTTTTTTTTTGGTCGTTCAATAGTAAATAAATTCATAATTTGATCTCCAAAAAAATTTTAGACCGGTAAATGATTATTCATTCATTTACTTCATCATAATAATTCGAATAAACAAATCAAAATTAAATAACTTATTATTTAATTTGAATCCACTTATTTGAAATTATATTTTTATTAAAATACATATGACCACTTCCAGTGCTAAAAAAAATCAGAATATAAAAAAGTACTTTAATAATATTATTATAGTTTAATAAAGTTGTTCTTTCCTATTTTTGTTTTATTATCTTTCTTAGAAAGGAATGATGATTTTTAACTCATACATCCAGCAGACGAAAACAGACCACTCCACTCCACCTCACATCTCTCTCTCTCTCCATTAATGGCTGTTCCATTGTAATTCTCACAAACATGCTTGTGAATTACGCTTAGGACAACCCTACAATCACAACCCCAACACCAATTTTCAATGGCGTCTTATATAGAAATCAGTAGATGCAATCTCATCCCTCTCTCTCTCTCCTCTCTCTGCGCTTGCCACTCTCGTCGTCCTTCCTCTTCTTCTTCTCTCAAAACCCTAATTCTAACTCGACCCAATTCCTCTAATTTGAGACCCAGTCTGTTGTTCGATGGCTCCAGACGCGTTTTCAGGGTTCCCAGGGGCATTTCCGTGAACCGCCCCCGCGTAATCACCGCTGTGGCTAGTACCGAACCGGACCGACTCGACGAAGGGGAAACCAAAGAGGTAAATCCAATTCGACTGCCTGAGAATTGAGTAATTTTTGTGGGTTTGCTTACTTGAGGTTGATAAAATTCAGGAAAATTGGTTCTTTTTTGTTTGGTTGCCTAAAAAAATTGAACGAACGAAAAGAAAAGAAACGTTTTACGGTAATTTTAGTTCTGAACTGTGAAAGGCCAACTCAAACAAATTCTAATGAATGAAATTCAGCTGGTAGGTTTATTTGAGGAATTTTTCTGAGGAACCAAACAGAAGCTACTGAACCTGTAGTGTATATATCATTGTTGTTTCTTGCATATGGGCTTTAGCTATGTTAATAAATGCTCGTTATGTTTTTCTAACGTTGGGATGCAGGGTTGTGTTGTTTAAAATTTGAGATTGGTTTGGGAATGTTATTGTTAATATGCTCCTAAGTGATGAATTTGGTGTTGGAAGTTATTGGGGGATTGGGACAACATGGAATTTGGGAGTAGATGGAGAAACGTTGTGTAGATTTTGGAGAAGATAGAACACCGAACTCAAGACTGCCTAAGGTAACTAAGAACATAAGAAAGACATGTTTCCATTCTCTGAGTTCGAGAGGTTTCTTGTTGTTGAATATGGAATACAGGTTGGCATGCTGGTAGTAATGAATATTAATGTGGCTCTTTTTGGATTTTAAGGAAGGTATCAAGGGGAAAGCATGTGATGGGTATAAGGTAGTAGCAGTAGGTATAATTTACCAGTGTTTTAAAAGGCATGCTTAGGCGCTAAGGCGAGGGCTTTTTTTCAAGGCGCGAGACGTGGGATTCATGGGCTTTATCTATTTTTCTACTCTAACTGTTGATTAAGTGCTTTTTATTTCTTTTTTGAATTGCAAACTAGAAGCTTAGTTGTTTTGAATTTTATGTGGATGATCTTAAAACTTGAGGTTTTTGGTGGATGTGAATGTGATACTTTATATCTTTTGTTAGATATTATATTTCTAGTTTTTAGAAGATTAAATGTTATGTTTATCAATTATTTGAAATGGTGAAGCTTGTTTTATTTTTTTTGAAATTCTATATATATTTGTTATGTTAAAATTTTTGCCTATTTTATAATTTTGGTTTTCTTCTACTACTTGCGCCTGTAGGAGACTTTATCGCCTCGGTGCGCCAAGCGTCTTTTAAAACACTGTAATTTACAGTCTATGCTGGTTGGGTTTTCCTACTGGTTCTTCCCCTTGTAGCACTTCTTAATATGACAACTGTGGATATCTCCTAAAGCGCCATGTGTTGTGTACACAGAAGAAGACATGTGATTGACACACATCTCCTCAATAATTCGCATGTGTTAGAAGAAATATCTTTGATGTTCAAACTAAACCACATTAAAGGACTCACTAGCATTCAGCAAAGTGATTCAAGTCCTATTGTGGAGTTGATACCATGCACCTAAAAATACCGTTGTATTCAAAACTCGTGCCTCAAGCCATTGACAAAGGCAAGTGACTGTATGATTGTCGTGGTTGTTTACTGTGTTAAGTTCATCTTACGAAAGAGAGAGAGAGAGAGAGCTTGGGGATCGAGATGAATCCTAACAAAATGATATATTCTGACACATCTTTAACATATGCTGACAAAATTCTGAAATATTTAGAAGTTTGTTAAGGACCTTGTTCCCTACCTTTTATAAATAGGTGATACCCTCCTTACATCACAACATTCTACACACGTACTCCAAAGAGGCCATCTTTGAGATCTTTATTTTGGGTCCTTTGCTCACACCATGATGCTTCTTGCCACTCTTTCTCAAATTGGGTTGCTATGTCTGTCACTGAACATTCCCTTTGCCCTTCGTGTTTGTGACATGTACAATTCATTGACCCCTAGGCAGTATTACCTACAACATTCACCCTCCAAAATAGCATATCCAAATTATAAGAAAGCCCATAGAGGTCACAATTGCAGAATTTGCAGGGGGAAATTTTTATTTGTTCGAGTATGTAAATAAATCGTGAAACCTCCCTTCCAACTTCTCCCATCATGTATTGCATAAAAAATGGCACAGACCCTACTCACTTTCTCTAACAAAATCAAGTGCTATTCATGAGGCATCTCCTATTGGCCTAGCACATGCTTATGCCTTTATTCTGTTGTTCTTTCCTGTCGCACATTTTCACATAATTTTGTCTTGCACGTTCAAATGTGGGTCATACCTATTCTTTGGCCTTACATGTGTGTTCAAACACTCTATTCTATCTTCTCTGCTTGTGTCTCATGTCCCTTTGGTGGACATGCATGCGTCGTGTCACATTCTTGACCCAAGTACTATCTTGTCCCTTGCTTGCTTGCCTTGGCATGCATTCATGACCAATTACACATTATTATATGAAATGTGGATACTGACATGAGTGCTATGTTTTGACACATACACGAGGTGTCTTATGTGGCAGCTCTTCCGCATGTAGATAGGGTGACACTTATATTTGTTGCCCTTGGTAATATTCTGCACATCCAACATGTAATTTCATTTTCCCTTATAAGAGATTCTTTTGAAGACCCTTAGTGAGTGAATGTGGAAATATAGTTTTCTTGACAAAAATGTTGTTTTTATATGCATCAGTAAGTAGTTGAAGATCAACTCCTTTATGCTTTGTCACATTGTAGTAGTGTATCTGAATTATGATGTTCAATGCCCTTCCCTTCAGTGTGGCGATCCCCTTGCAGTGCACACGTGTAAAGTTACCTTCGTTTAATTGGGCATTATGCATTGTTTGGGTTAAGTTTAGGTACTGCGTTTTTTTATTTTATTTTTTGCTATGTGGAATGAGTTCATGAATTTAAATAAGATGCATGATAATATAGATGTAAGTAAACCTAAACTGGTAATGATCTCTTCTTCTTTCTTCTTTCTTCTTTCTTTTACTCTCTAATAAGTAAAATTTTATTGAGAAAAGCATCAAGAGGGGATGCTACCCATATTAAAAAGAAAAAAAAAAGGAAAAATGTAAGCCTTGTCTAGAACCTCCATATGCTCAAAAAGAGTGAGCAGCCTATAAACTCAGTCAAAATAAGGCTATACACTTCTTTCTAACTCTAAGGCTTGGGAGCTCCCTCCTTGAATTCTAATTATACAGGATAGCCAAGAAAAAGGTCTTCAATCTATAGAAGGCTCCACAATTCCTTGAAATATCCTCATTCTTTCACCCCATACAAATCATGTTAAACACAATGGAACCAATGGCCAAGCTCTTCAACCCATACTAAGTTTGAGAGGTTTTTTCAAATGAAAAAATGAATATAACTGGATAGTCCAATAAAAGTAGGGACTTACACGAGGGTCCTAGTTCATTGCTAAGCTAATATGGGAAGCAAAACCTCTCACATATTTAAGACCACCAAACTGCTTGGATAAATGGTCATCAACATATTGTCCTAACAGTTCTTTTTTTTTTTTTAATCGGAAATATGAGGTTATTTTCGCAAGATATGTTATAGGTCAAAGCAGGCAAAGCCATCCTTCTCCCCATTTTCTAGAACAGTTTGCCCTTAAATTTAACACTTTCCCATTGAATAGTCTGATCCAATAATTCTAGGGTTTTGGATAAATGACAGTTTCTGCAGAATGGCACTATACATTCTTGGAATTGAAGAGATCATTTGGAAATTTCTTGGGAGTTAATCTAACTGCTCTATTCTCATTTTTCATATTTTTCTTATTATCTTAAGTTTGCATGGTTAATTGACTGAAATCTCCGAGAGGGGAATGTTTTAGGAAGTTGACAAAGGCTATAATTTATTATTGAAGGTAGATTCAACTTCAGAGCTCCAACAAAAAGCAGGTCAGTTGAAGAAAAGGATTGTTTTTGGGCTTGGCATTGGAATTTCTTGTGGAGGTGTGGTATTGGCTGGAGGATGGGTTTTCACGGTGGCTATTGCTGCTGCAGTTTTTGTTGGTTCACGGGAGTACTTTGAACTAGTTAGGAGTCGTGGAATTGCTGCAGGAATGACACCTCCTCCTCGATATGTGTCACGATTTTGCTCTGTTATCTGCACTCTCATACCCATCCTTACACTGTAAGATTTGTTAATGTACGTTATTACACATGGAAACACTATTTTGAAACTTTGTGTCGTACAAATTTAACAAATGGATGCTGGAGATATGGGTAATTATTGCCAAGTTCCAAATAGTAGATTGAGTGAATCATTAAACTTACCCAGGATGTCTGTTTGAGTGGTATATCTTATCTGCCGCGTATGGCCTCAGTAGTTATCTGCTCATAAATATCTCGATTATTGTATGTCTGCACTTTGCTGAATACCCATGATAATTTACTTTAATTCAATATTCTGTATTGTAGCGTTTATCATTTAAATCAATTGAAGGTCTTAGGTGAAAATTATTGAATTTAGCAAATAGATATACCCAAAAGGAAACTATGCTTCTTACTTTAGTTAATTTCATGCAATGATTTAACTTGTTTTTTTCCACATAAACCTTTTTTTATTTCTTTCGTTTTTTTTTTAAATTTTTTTTTTTTTTTTTTATTTATGAAAATTATATGAATGCCACAAAAGAGATAGGGCTGAAAACAGTAAGGGACTAAAATCAAGCCATCAATTCTTATTTATTTATTTTTGGAGGGAAGGGGGGAAGCGGGATGTATCTCATTACTTATTTATCTCAAATAATGATTGAATGGATATTGGGAGACATAGTTGTCTAATTGTTTATGTTATTGCATATTGATTTTCATGTTTTTCTTGTCTATATATCATAGGATACACTATTTGTCATAAAATATAGAATAGTCTATTTATCAAAATATATATTCAATAGTCTAGAAATAAAAGAAAAATATATGATACTTGGGATGCAAGCCAATGAAATCATTGGTCACCTAAATGTCAAGAAAACAATTGAATAATTATTTTGAAAGCTAATGCTGATATGATAGGCCTTTGGATATGATATGTCCTGCCCTTTGCTTACCAATGGAAGAGATTGTTAAACAAATAGAGTGAATATGTGAATGTTATACCAAAAAACAGAGTGAATATGTGAATGACATGGAGAATGAGGCACTACTTATCCCCAAAAAAATAAATAATGAAAAATAGAAGAAGAGTTCCTACCTAGCTGACTTGTTAATCATTTAAGAAGCTCCAACATTTCTAAGAAGGTGGCGTGTCTGTGTTGGACACTAATGCTTATTGGACACTCTTGACATGTGCCAAAGATGTGTCCATATGTGCATTATTATTATTAGACACATTTTGGACACTTGGGGGGCACGTGTCCATCACTTGTATCCCACCATTTTGAGGTTGAGTTGGGAACGCATCTAGAGATGCGAACAACTTTCTAGGTTTTTCCCTGATCAGTTTTTTAGTAGCTTTTGCTTCTGGTGACATTGTTCTAATCTCTAGCTAAGGCGCATGGACATGTCTAAGAAGCTGGTGTGTCCATGCTCGACATGTTGTAAAAATTTGGTGTTTAAATAAAAAATAAACAAATTCATATTTAATTAAATTATTTTACAAAATAAGAAATCATGGGACTAAATCATACAACTTAATGAACAGAAATATATATAACAAAAATAAGGAAAAGAAAGCAAATTGAAGCTTGTGTGATACCACAGCCTTCTTAAAACATATTCGCCACCTCATCGTGAGTGCTGAAGGTATGTTGGTGTCTGTTTCTCGGGATATAACAGTTTAGAATATGCTAACGCAGAAGCATTTTTTGCTTAGCTCCGGCAAACAGACAATGGCAGCACTCTCTTACACAGGAAGAATATATTATAGGAGCAAACTGACTATAATATGAGCAAAAATTTATGTACTCCAACCAAAAAGGATGGTCTCCTTTTTTATGCAATGGAAAAAAGAGGAGGAGAGAACTTAGCTTATTTTTGTGATTATATTCACAATGTTGAGCATGCCCTTATATAGGGATATTTGGCAAGACATATGGTAATGCCATGTGTCCCTCATAGCTTCCAAAACCAGTGTCCCTCATGGTTGGGCCATGTGTGTCTCATGGTCTAAGACACTATTAAGGCCATGTATTCCTCATGGTTAGGCCATGTGTCTCTCATGGTCAGACTACATGTAAAATGCTCAATCATCATTCTCAATCTCTTATTGATGAGGCCAATTTTATGAGACAATTTTCATTCAATTCTTAAACCAAAAAACCATATTTTCCAACACGTGTTGGATACTTCTTGACACTCATTAGACGCTTGAGAGACACACGTCTATCTTTTAGACACATATAAAATAAATTATAAGTTTGAATAAAATAATTTGGGATATAATGATAAAAAAATAAAAAATAAAAAAATTGTAAATTTATATCTATCAATCCATCCTCTTTAAACTTTAAAAATTATTGTTATGTTCTATTTTTCTTTTAACTTTAAATGATATATATATATATGTATGTATGTATGTATGTATGTATAATGTAATGGTGAATGATGTTTCTCGCAATGTTCTTGATATTTGTTTTTCTTCTTTCCCTGATCAACTTTAACCTTAACACACTTTCTGCCATACAAATGATACATTGGTTCTTTCCCTGTTTAGGTATTTGCTCATTAAATAGTTCTTGGTTTTAAATTTAAACATTTTTTCTGTACACTTATATGCTTGTTTTTGTTGGTAGTTGCAAACTTGCTTAATCAAGCATATGCTTGAAGCAAGAATATCGAGTTTGAGAGGGTGGGTGAACATTGATAAGATGATTTTTTTCCTCCTTTGTGCATGACGTTTGATTTGCAACTCATTCTTCTTATTGTCATAGATTTCTATTGCTGATTGGTTTTTTTGTTTTATTAATTTATTGTCAGGTATTTTGGTCTTGACGTTTCCGTGACATCTGCAGCATTTGTTGTTGCTATGACATTGCTTTTGCAGAGGGGAAATCCACGTTTTGCTCAGCTCAGTAGTACCATGTTTGGGCTATTTTATTGCGGTTATCTTCCTTCCTTCTGGGTTAAGCTTCGTTGTGGTTTAGCGGCTCCAGCCTTAAATTCAAGTAAGAATTTGGTTCTATACTTTCACAAAAGTTTTAAAAAAAAAATAAAAATAAAAATAATTTATATATCCCTGGATAATGGTGATGTTAATAGGATGTTGGGAGAAAGATTACCATCAACGTATGTGTCCATAAGGTAATGGACTGTAGACTGCAAAACTGGTTGTGTTATGGACAGTGTGTGGAGGGAGCATAATAGGAGGTCTTTTGAGGGTAGAGAAGAGTTACCAATTTGTGTGTAATGATTTTTACTCCTCTCTCTCTCTCGGTTGAGAGAGGACTGTCTTTTCTCGGTTTTTGTCTTTTGTGCAGTTTATAGGCGATATGCACACACCAATGGAATTATATTCTTTATGTTCTGGTTTTGGTAATGAATTTTCTTGTCAAAAAATGTTTGCGGTAAATGCTTAGTTGCAGGAATCGCGCAACTAGGTGGCGATTCTGAGTAAGAATCGCGATTCCAAGTAAGAATCGCGATTCCTAGAAAGAAACGTGTTAGAATTGCGTTTCTGTGGAGAGAGAAACACGATTCAGTCCAAGATGGGATTGTAAAGGGAAGAGAGAGAGAAACCCTAACCTTCGACGTTGGCATGAGAGGAGAAAGGGTTTCGATCATCTTCGTCGCTCTCGCGATCGTCTTCGTCGCTCTCTCGATCGTCTTCGTCTTCGTCTTCGTCTTCGTCACTCTCTCTGTGCTTCTCTCTCTCTCTCTCTCTCTTCGTCTCTGCTTCTTTTCCTCTTCGTCTCTGTTCGTTGTTCTCTTCAGTCTCTCTCTCTTCATCTAGATCATATATAATATATATAATAATAAATAAATCAAAATGAAAGATGGGGGAAATAAGGAAAGTGGTTTGGAGAAAATAAATAAAAATAATGGATTTTGAAATCAAACGGAGGAGAGAGAGGGGACAAGCCCATGTGAGTGAAAGAGGGGTTTAAAGAAAGTGAGGGAGTGGGTTGATTAAAAAAAAAGGATTGTGGGTTTGAAAGTGGAAAGATGAGAGAGAGAGAGTGGGGTACATGATGAAGAGAGAGGGATGTCGTGCATGTGTGTGTATGTGGCAGTGTGTTGAGTGTGTGCCCATGTGCATAGGTCTGCCGAGAGGGAGAGATTAAATGCATGTCATCAATGGCCGACGAAGCTCCTGAATTCAGAAACCCCACCACAAAATGCCGAACAAGCTTCGGTCGAAGCAACCATCGAATCGAACGCTGAGGGAGGCACAGAGTCTTCTTGCGACAACATCAATCTCATCAATCTCCAAACTTCCACTCTCACCACCTCTGATGGGGACCGCGAGAAATCGTTGGAGTACGCGGACGAGTTGATGGAGAGAGGCTCGAAGGCTTCCAAGGACCACGATTACAGTGAGGCCACCGACTGTTACAGCCGTTCCCTAGAAATCAGGGCTGCTCATTATGGGGAACTTGCTCCTGAATGTGTTAACTCATATTATAAGTACGGGTGTGTACTACTGTACAAAGCTCAAGAAGAGGCTGATCCATTGGGTGCTGTGCCAAAGAAAGAGGGTGAATCTCAACAATTCTCTGATAAAGATGGATCTGTTAAAAATGCAGTAATTGGTGAATCATCTTCGGCTTCTGTTTCTGGTAATGTTGAACTAGAAGGGAGTTCAAAGCCTCAGGAAGGAGCTGCTGATGATGTTTCTGGCGGGAAGGATCAGGAAGAAAATGATGAGGAAAGTGATGCTGAGGACCTGCCTGAGGGAGATGAGGACAGTCAGCGGCTGGTTTGGACATGTGGTGGTGAAGAAGAGTAAAGGTATGTGTAAACAATTTTAGCGGACTAGGTTGAGGCCCGGCGGACGGCTAAGGTGAGGTTGCCGCCCGCCGGGGAAGCGAAAATACTAAGGTCTAAACCAGCTCTGATACCATGTAGAAATTTAATGTATAAAGAGAAATGATTGTATTATTGATTATAGTATGTTGTGATGTATTGTATGTACATTATATAGGAGATGGAGATGTGAAGTGGAGGTGGAGTGGTGGAGTAGGTGAAGTGGAGTGGTGGAGTAGGTGAAGTGGAGTGTGTAGTGGAGTAGGTGAAGTGGAGGTGGAGTGGTGTAGTGGGTTAGGTTTAGTGGAGTAGGTTTAGGTGTACATTAACAAACTTTAAAAATTATTGTTATGTTCTATTTTTCTATTAACTTTGAATGATATATATATATGTATGTATGTATAATGTAATGGTGAATGATGTTTCTCGCTATGTTCTTGTTATTTGTTTTTCTTCTTTCCCTGATCAACTGTAACCTTAACACACTGTCTGCCATACAAATGGTACATTGGTTCTTTCCCTGTTTAGGTATTTGCTCATTAAATAGTTCTTGGTTTTAAATTTAAACATTTTTCTGTACACTTTTATGCTTGTTTTTGTTGGTAGTTGCAAACTTGCTTAATCAAGCATATGCTTGAAGCAAGAATATCGAGTTTGAGAGGGTGGGTGAACATTGATAAGATGATTTTTTTCCTCCTTTGTGCATGACGTTTGATTTGCAACTCATTCTTCTTATTGTCATAGATTTCTATTGCTGATTGGTTTTTTTGTTTTATTAATTTATTGTCAGGTATTTTGGTCTTGACGTTTCCGTGACATCTGCAGCATTTGTTGTTGCTATGACATTGCTTTTGCAGAGGGGAAATCCACGTTTTGCTCAGCTCAGTAGTACCATGTTTGGGCTATTTTATTGCGGTTATCTTCCTTCCTTCTGGGTTAAGCTTCGTTGTGGTTTAGCGGCTCCAGCCTTAAATTCAAGTAAGAATTTGGTTCTATACTTTCACAAAAGTTTTAAAAAAAAAATAAAAATAAAAATAATTTATATATCCCTGGATAATGGTGATGTTAATAGGATGTTGGGAGAAAGATTACCATCAACGTATGTGTCCATAAGGTAATGGACTGTAGACTGCAAAACTGGTTGTGTTATGGACAGTGTGTGGAGGGAGCATAATAGGAGGTCTTTTGAGGGTAGAGAAGAGTTACCAATTTGTGCGTAATGATTTTTACTCCTCTCTCTCTCTCTCTCGGTTGAGAGGACTGTCTTTTCTTGGTTTTTGTCTTTTGTGCAGTTTATAGGCGATATGCACACACCAATGGAATTATATTCTTTATGTTCTGGTTTTGGAAATGAATTTTCTTGTCAAAAAAATGTTTGCTGTAAATGAAGTTGCTCATTCAGTGCATGCATGTTTACGTTTGTTTGTACGCTTTCCTGACTAATTAAAACATGTTGAAAAGTTACTATTCTGGATGATTAACTTGAAATGCTTTCTGCAATTTTTTGGCCACTCACAAAGTTATTACTCACATTCGGCAATGATCTCAATGTGTATTTGGTTTGTGAAGCATTTCTTATCAAAATGCTTTGATCTTTTCTGCTGTTGACAGCATTAAAATTTGCTGCTTCGTAATTATTAATTTGCTGATATTATGGGTTTTACTTCGAGCTCTTTAGGTGGTACTGCATTTTAGACCAATTTTCCTTTTTAACACTAACTCTTAATTATTTGTTTATGTCAACCTTTTCATATTCTTTTAAAATTAATTTCCAAGTTTGGATGGTCTATTGGTACTTTTATTACACTGTTCCTAACAAGTTTAGCTTTTGCAGGAGTGGTAACAGGATGGCCTTTGCTTCTTGGTGGTCAGACTCTGTGGACAGTGGGTCTTGTGGCAACGTTAATTTCTATTAGCAGCATAATTGCTGCTGATACTTGTGCTTTTGCTGGTGGCAAGGTATTTGTGCTTCTGAAGTTAAGCAGTTGGACCTCTCTACTGTCTCTTGCAATATTTAGGGAAACTGTTCATACAGAAAATTTGAACATAAATTATTATAAGAATGACGTGGCAATGTCTTTTTTGAAAATAAAGCCTCTTCATGGCTGTTTTGTTTTAAAGTGAAAGGTTCACATTAAGCCACATCATTTTGTTTGAATTTTCTGTTTGTATCAATACCACATTAAGCCACATCACCTTGTTGATAGTATGTGTATGATCATGCAACTTCAAAAATATTTTTTCCTCAAGATACAGCTACCTAGCTCTCTAAAATCCTTCTTGTTACTAGAACACTTGAATTTGCCATCTTAGAGTGCCTTTAAAAGGGGTTTTCACCAGTTTTGATTGACAGAAGGGTTCTCGTTGACCATCTCCACCATGTTTCTAAATTCTACAGTTAAATAACTAATAACTATTGAACCATGATGCTCCTCTTCAATTTGAAGGGTTGTTTCATAATTAAATATTGACACGCGATGAGAACAATCTACTTTTAAAAGAAAATCAGCACCCTTGATTTTTAAATGATTTCTTTTGTAATGTCTTATTGCTTGCTCACTTGTCTGGGTGATTATGCCTAAAATCTCCGAAATTTAATATATGTTAATCACTGTAGTCGGTGCAGATAACATTTAGTCATTATGCTTGTAATTTCTTTATTAGTCGGTGCAGATAGTATGTATTAGTGGAGCATTTATGCTTGTAATTTCTTTCATATGCCTTGTGAAATTTAGTCATTACATTTTTATCAATGTTTAGAAAATTTTACGGATGTTAGATTTTCTAAGTTGAAGGATATGTCAATATCATTTGCTTGCTTGTTGATTACTTGAATGAAAATAACTTGCAGATTTCTTCATATATATATATATTTTTGTTACTATCTGTTCTATGCAGTTATTCGGACAATCTAGCCTATTAGTTACATAAAATGTGTTGTTGGCTTGAACTCCAATGTAGGCATTTGGTCGGACGCCACTTACTAATATTAGTCCAAAGAAGACATGGGAGGGAGCTGCTGCGGGCTTAGCTGGTTGTATAGCCACTTCTGTTATATTATCAAGGATTCTTAGTTGGCCAACATCTTTTCTAAGGTTTGTTATTTTATTTCACTGTTGCACTCACACATGCATTTGCCCACATGCTTACTGACCTTTTGGCAACTACTTAGAGTATCACAAACCTGGATCAGGAGGGTGGTTGTGTGTTAGGTACTCTGACAACTACCACATAAAAATCCCCATTAGATTGTTTATAGATATGAATCCTCATATAAATATGCGAATAAGGTCTAGGGCATTTCTTGTAAGCGATTAGTTGCACCTGCCTTCAGGTTTTTTGGGCAAGGGAGGCCACATTGGCACTCATGTGCCATGAAAATAGGCAAGTGTCTCTACACTTTTCTGAACAAGAATGGGTGAAGAAGTTAGCTTAGGACTGTAGGTTTATATTAATATTAACAACTTGGAATATTGGAACACTAACAAGTAAAACTATGATTTTAGTAGGTACTATGATTAGAAGGAAAGCAAGTATAATGGGATGACAAAAAACTAAGTGGGTAGGTGAGAAAGCAAACAAAATAGAAAATAATCGGGTACCTGCGTGACACAGACTCTTTGGATTTTTGGATGTACTCGTGTCAACACGACATGACACGGGTACGGGTGTGGGATACGGCCGGGATACGACTCTTTACAAACAGAAACGGCAGAAGAAACGAAAGAGGAGAGAGCAAGGGGAGAACTTGATCGCCGTTTGAAAGGGTGAAGACATTGATCTTGTTGTGACTTCAATTCCTCTGGTCGTTGGGTTCAACGGCTTCGATCTCGATATCGATCTTCTCTGCTCGATGCTCAATCTCCTTCTCTGTCTTCTCTCTCTTTCTCTCTCTCGCTCGATCGGTCTTCTCTCTCGTCTCTTGCTTTCCCTCTTTCTCTCCTCTCAATCTCCCTCTTCTTCTTCTCCTCTCTCTCTCTCTCTCTCTCTTTAAGAGAACAAAATAAATCATATATAATATAAATTATTATATTATAAAAATAATTATCTACATAAATTATTATTTTATTTATATATATATATATAAATGAGTAATCACACAATGTAGGTCCCACACCCATGTGAGACATTCGGTCAAATATTTGGTAGAATTTTTAGAATCTCTAGCATTTTTGATATAAAATAAATCATCTATTTTTAAAAATATATATAATAAAATCATATATAGTATAAATTATTTTATGCCTAAAATAATTTTTATATGTTATATTTTAGTGGGATGCCTAAAAAATACATAATATTTTTTTGATACATCCATGTTTAGCCGTATCCATGTACCCGTGTCTAATTTTTGGGTATGTTTTAGACGTACCTGCGTATCCCTCATTTAGAGGTTTGTCGAGTCCGACCTCTAGATACATACCCGCACCTGACACTTAGACCCGAGTCCATGTAACGTAGTCGGGTACAAAATTTACTTTACTGGAAATGAGAAACATAGAAATGTTGTATGAATAATTGTAACCAAACATTGTAAAGATATAGTAGTAATATTTATGAGAATAGGTGACAGAAATGCTATTTAAACTTGTAATTGGAGAAAGTTAGACCTTGTTTGGTTTGTATTTGAGAAACATGTTTTGAGATAAAAAGTACGAAAATTTGTTTGGTTTGGTTTTTTTTCAAAAGATGTTTTGAAAAATTATTTTGAGAGAGTTTTGGAAAAAGTGATTGATTTGATGTGTATAAGAGAGAGATTTGTTTAGAAAATTTGTAAACCAAACAAGTTTTGAAAATTTTTTTTGAAAAAATTTGTTTGGTTTGATTATTTTTGAAAACTTATTTGTAGAGAATTTTTCCCAAAATTTTTTGAGAAACACAAACCAAACAAGGCCTTAGTGTCTATGCACCCAAATAAGATTGGAGGAACATACCCAATTGTTGTACCCAATTCCCACCCTGCAAATCTGTTATGTGAGTGGGATTCTTTTGGGTAAGCTAAAATGTTTTTGAAAATACTTTTCTTCGTTTCTTTTCTTTTCTCCCTTACAAGTGAACCAAATGGTGAAAACAAATATTTTCATATGAATTGTTCACTTTCTTCTTCTGTATGCTCTCCTAAAAGCAAGGAAGCACTGATACGGATACGGATACGGATACGGATACGGGTACGATACGATACGGATACGGCGATACGGCAAAATTCGAAAAAGTAGGATACGGATACGGCGGAGATACGTTCATAAAAAATATTTTTTTTCATAATTTTTAGTAATGTAGCATACACAAAAATAGAACTTCAACAATTTTTAGTAATGTAACATACATAAAATAAAACTTCAACAATTTTTAGTAATGTAGCATACATAAAAATAAAACTTAAAACAAAACATTAATGTAGCATCACCTATAACAACCATCATGCATCACCCATAACAAAAAATTCATCAATTCAATTAAATTTCTAACAATTTCAACAATATAGCATCATCTATAACAACCATAATGCAATTCAATCCCAAATTAAGGGGGGAAAAATTTACAAAGTTCATTTATTTATCAATAAGTTTATTTATTTATTTATTTATAAGTTTTTTTTACCTTATTTGATTTATTAATAAGTTTATAAAGTTTATAATTTTATAAGTTGACAAATTTTATTTTTAATAAGTTTATTTATTTATTTATTTATAAGTTTTTTTTACCTTATTTGATTTATTAATAAGTTTATAAAGTTTATAATTTTATAAGTTGACAAACCTTTTCATCTCCTCTCTCGATCTGTATTCTCTGTCTTCTCTCTCGTCGCTCAATCTTCTCTTCTCTCTCTCTCTCTCTCTCTGGCTTTGTCGATTTATCTTCTCACTTTTTAACAGATAACAAAATAAATTATACTATATAATATAAAATAAATTATATATAATATAAATTAGTTATATTATAAAATAATTATATACATAATTTATTATTTTATTTATTATATATATATAATAAATCATCTATTTTTTTAAAAAAATAATAATAAAATCATATATAATATAAATTATTTTATGCCTAAAATAATTTTTATATGTTATATTTTAGTGGGATGCCTAAAAAATACATAGTATTTTTTTGATACATCCATGTTTAGCCGTATCCATATACCCGTGTCTAATTTTTGGGTATGTTTTAGACATACCTGCGTATCCCTCATTTAGAGGTTTGTCGAGTCCGACCTCTAGATACATACCCGCACCTGACACTTAGACCCGAGTCCATGTAACGTAGTCAGGTACAAAATTTACTTTACTGGAAATGAGAAACATAGAAATGTTGTATGAGTAATTGTAACCAAACATTGTAAAGGTATAGTGGTAACATTTATGAGAATAGGTGACAGAAATGCTATTTAAACTTGTAATTGGAGAAAGTTAGTGTCTATTGACCCAAATAAGATTGGAGGAACATACCCAATTGTTGTACCCAATTCCCACCCTGCAAATCTGTAATGTGAGTGGGATTCTTTTGGGTAAGCTAAAATGTTTTTGAAAATATTTTTCTTCGTTTCTTTTCTTTTCTCCCTTACAAGTGAACCAAATGGTGAAAACAAATATTTTCATATGAATTGTTCACTTTCTTCTCCTGTATGCTCTCCTAAAAAGGGTTCTTAATATCCTACTGACTGGACTGACCTCGATCAAAATGGTAGTTGCTGGATATCACATCATCTGTATCCCCTCCCAGTGCTATCAATCCCATCATCTGTATCCCCTCCCAGCACTATCAATCAACGGGGACTAACATTGCATAATGTTCTTGTCACGTCAACTATCATGGTTTCAATCCTCATCTTCTTGTTAGCTTTGGCTAGCTAGAAAGCAGAATACATTATTGGAGAAAGTGGAATTTTTCTAAAAGTAAAATCAAAGGGTGCACTAGGATTTCCTATGCATGTCATTCAGCCGAAATATAAGATATAGCACGAGGGGGTTGTATTTTAGTGTGGTACATTGACCTGATGAATTAATATTTTACAGAATCTAAAATTAGAGATTTTTTTCTTTAAAACTCGAAAATGTGCATTAACATAGTTTCTTGGATGATTATCAGTGCAATAGCTTTTGGTGTTCTGAACTTCTTTGGATCTCTTTTTGGTGACCTTACCGAGTCAATGATCAAGCGTGATGCGGGTGTTAAGGACTCAGGGTCCCTTATACCTGGACATGGTAACTACCTCTGGATCTTGTTGAATTCTGTAGTTATACACTGTACTAGTATGTTGATGTTTCTTCCTTTGTTTATTTGATGTAACAACAAACCTATTGTGCTGCTTAATCTTTCAGGTAAGTGTTGGGTTCCTTAACCACTATGTTGTTTCTGTTCGTATGAAGTGTCGGGACTGTAACTGTGTGCATCTACTACATCTTGCTGTCAAATTATTTCTTCTTCGTTTTTTTTTTCTTTTCTTTTTGGCGAGTATTGCCAAATTATTTCGGAAACATTTGAAATATTTGACTTAATTGTCTATTCATTACTTGCTAAATTTACTTTTAGGATTTTTTAATAGACGCATTGATTTTGCTGTTCTGCTATTATAGAGGGACAGAGATATGGTGTATGTCAAATTGATACTGCTGATATTAGTTTTCTGAGCTGACACTTGAGATGATTGTAAGGAACATGAATTTCTTTCAAACAAATACTACAACTTGGGTGACTTTGGTGATGGAACAGTCTTTATTTACTGACTGACACCGAAAAGTATCACCTGCTGTGTGGTTATCAGCAAGGGATGAGCTGCTGTACTTTATTTCCTGGGTATACAAATTAGGTTAAATGTTGTTGTTTTTATAATGCTAATGCGCTAGGTCTCTTTCAGTTTTTTTTTTTCTCTGAAAATGGAGATATTTCTTGCCGAGAGAAGCTAGTTTAGTGGTTAAAACTCAACCAATCAACCTTGATGTTGTGGGTCCATACCCGAGGGAAGCCACTTTATGCAAATAATGGCAATGTTAGGTCTATATTTATTTTACCTCTCCTAGACCCCCCATTGAATGGGGACTAAATTGGATGCATTTTTACCTATTCTTTTTGGAGAAGGGAGGATGTATATATATATATATATATATTTATTGAGAATCAATATTTTGACTTTTCTATTTCATAAGATAAGAGGTCTGGATGATGAGGTGGTCAATTAGGACCTTTTCGGAAGATGGTGTGGGGATCACCGAAGATGGAAGAGGCAAGAGGTCACATGCCCTTAGTGAGAGAGAGGATGGTAATGGAAATACATCGCTCTTGCTAGAGATGGAGAGGTGATTAGGTTATTTGTTGCCATGACCCCAACCCCACCCTATGTGGATTAGGGTATTGATTGTCATGGATAGCGTTGTTAAACAATCGAGTGCAAACTTTGTCTAGTAACAAATCCTTTCATATCAAATAATCAAGATTATCCTAACATAAGCATAGTAATTGGATATTATAACAAAAAGAGATTAAATTCTTCATTGCTTACCAATTATTCTTTGTTTACCAAACCAAACCAAACCAATTTATCTTTGTTTACTGCTTGAAAATTAATTTCAGGCAATTGATCACTTACTGATTGCTTGCCACTGTTAAAAGTGTGATTGATCACTATAAAAGCACGATCAATCACCCCACTTAACATAGGGCTTTTTATACATGTTTTCCAAACAAGATTTTTGTGTATCTCTGAAAATCTTTTTTGAAAAAGCCCTTTGTCAATGCAATGAAAACATGCATGCAAACCTTACCTTAACAGGTAATGGAGCAAAGCTTCCAATCTCGATGTGCTAGGCTGACTGCATTTGTTGGTAGCAGTTCTTTGGACAATCTCTTTGCTCTTGGTTATGAACAATTTTTAGTTTGATGCTCAATGCCAAGGCGGTGATTTTTGCAGGTGGACTACTAGACAGGGTAGACAGCTACATATTTACGGGTGCACTTGCCTACTCCTTCGTCAAAACTTTGCTACCTCTTTATGGAGTTTGATATCGAACAGCCATGAACAAAGGTTGAGTTTTTTCTGCTCAATTGGTTCTGCAAAACTCGAAGCGAGCAGAAGCAAATAATCAATAACTTGGACCAAGAGTTTTGTTAGAATCTCGGGGAAGGTTATCTGAGACTGCAAATGCAACCCCGCCAGGTTTAGCTCATTCACATCTGATTCTTTGCTCGGGAAAATATTACGTTTTGTGTTTTCTTGAATTACATGAATCAAATAAATTGTATTCTGGCATAAGCTGGCGGCATGTACCTTCTCCGCCTATTGATGGGTATTGTAGTTTTCCTTGATAATAGGCAATGCCTTTTTGCTAGTGAAAATTTATGGGTTGAATTTAGTTTCAAAATATGAAAAACAAATTATGAAAATTATATTAAACAAGTCAATCTTTTTTTCTTTTTGGGAATAAATATTGCTTTTAGTCTTTTGAATATATAATTATAAGCTACCTGGGCAGGCTGTTGGGGCATTAATTGGGTGTGGATTCTGAGAAATTACCTGCCATCTATGTTTATTGTGAGATATGACTTGAGCAACTTGTTATCTATGTTTATTGTGAATTTGAGTTTTTAGAATTCAGTCTGAATCTGTGAACAAAAAAACAAAAAAATTGGGTGATATTTTTTAGGACTGGAATAATTTTATATATCTAGCTCACTTATGTGGGAAGGAGAGCCATTAAGTGGTAGGGGCAGGTGAACCCGCAACAGGTGAGATTACACTCGATCTTATTTGTTGTTAAATGATGTACAAAATATTTTATTAAGTTGCAGGATACAAGAAGTGGAAACTCATCCTTTTTTTTTTCTTTGGGATCTATGTTCTAAAAATTCTAACATTATGTGGAAGCATATGAGAGCTCTTGAGAAAGCCTTGCTATAAATAGGGTAAGGATGCTTACACTTGTAATATGATTAATGAAATTTGTTGAAATTTGCTAATTTGCTTTGGGCTCTTGAGAAAGACTTGCTAAAATAAGGTGAGAATGCATATATTTGCAATATTATGAACGAAATTTGTTGACATTTGATTAATAAATGATAAGTAGTGCTCTGTGCTCTCACGAGTCTCGCCAGAAATGAGGTAAGGATGATGCATACATTTGTATTATGATCAATGAAATTTGTTGAAATTTGATTAACAAATGATAATTGCTCTGTACTCTTGAGAAACAGTTTCGCCAGAAATAGGGTAAGGATGCGTAAATTTGTCATATGAATGATGAAATTTGTTGAAATTTGTTGAAATTTGATTAACATATGTGATAATTGACTTGGGTGATTATCATCATGAGGTTCAATCAGATCAGGGTATATGGCTTAGATTGACTTGAAGAAGCATTGTGGATTGAATTTCTCATTTTGGGCCTGTCAAGCCCTTTTGTATAATTTCTTAACAGGTTGGGGTATTATAGTCACACCAAATTAGAGCTGACGCTTAGCATTGGGTGATTCTATTTGCCCCCATCTTATGAGAGTACAATTCTTCATGCATGTGAGAGTACGGGTGGGCTTAGCCCGGTAGCCCGCCTAGTCCAGTTCGCTTTGTAAAGTGGGACTTATATTTGGGAGATTTGGTGTAGACCCCTCACTGTCTAATATAGGTTAGTAGGCTGCCGAAATTTTGCAAATAGTCCTTGTACCTAGGCTGGCCTGAGTATCATTATATGTAATATGTAACATAATATATATTAGAGTTTTATTTTTGTTTCAATAAAAATTGTATTTTAAGAATAAAAATATGCTCACCAAGTTTGAATTTAAGATGTAATAGATAAATATTGAATGTTTATGACAGTTAAATCATAAATTTATAAATGTGTAATATTTAATTTTTTTAATATAATATGAGTTTGGATGGATTTGAAATTTTAATTTCATTTTAAAGGCAGACTCAGACGGGATTTTTATGAATTCGGGGAGGTGTAGGCTACTTTTTAGCCTAAATTGGACGCAGATGTGGTCCGGTCAATGCCTACTCCTATGTGAATGTTGGAGAAGGGAAGTGTGAAGAGATATTCAAAGGATTTTAATTTTAAATAAGAACTGTTCTCATTTGAAGATTTGTTGAGTACATTATTTTTGTAAAAAATCACGCCAATCAAATAACGGATATTATGTATTTAGATCACTCTCGTCTGAAAAAAATGGACGGTCAGAAAATTAACAGTTCATAAAAAAGTGATCCGAATATATAGTATTCGTTATCCAATTGACGTGATTTTTTACAAGAATAATGTACTCAACAAACCTTAAAATATGAACGATTAGAATTATCAAAAAAACGCTAAAAAATGAGCCCAATAGGCTGGACTGGACTTTCCAGTCTGGACTGGAGGCAAGTCCCAACCTTAAATAAAACCATACCTTTGAATTTTAGTCAGTTAAATCATAAATTTATAAATGTGTAATATTTAATTTTTTTAATATAATATGAGTTTGGATGGATTTGAAATTTTAATTTCATTTTAAAGGCAGACTCAGACTGGATTTTTATGAATGTGGCGAGGTCTAGGCGACTTTTTAGCCTAAATTGGACGCAGATGTGGTCCGGTCAATGCCTACGCCTATGTGAATGTTGGAGAAGGGCAAGTGCGAAGAGATATTCAAAGGATTTTAATTTTAAATAAGAACCGTTCACATTTTAAGGTTTGTTGAGTATGTTATTCTTATAAAAAATTACGTCGATCAAATAATGGATATGATGTATTTAGATCACTCTTGTCTGAAAAAAATGGACGGTTAGAAAATTAACAGTTCATAAAAAAATAATCCGAATACATAGTATTCATTATCCGATCGACGTGATTTTTTACAGGAATAATGTACTTAACAAATCTTAAAATATGAACGATTAGGATTATCGAAAAAGGCTAAAAAATGAGCCCAATAGGCCGGACTGGACTTTCCGGTCTGGATTGGAGGCAAGTCCAAACCTTAAATAAAACCATACCTTTGAATTTTAGTTCTAAAAAAAAAAAAAAGAGAGAGAAAAAGAAATGTGGCATTTTCACTTTAAATTTCTAAATTCACTTATATTGAAGTGACAAGAAAATTGAGTTTTTTAAAGTGAGTTTTATTAAGTGATTGAATGTTATGACAAATTAAAAATTGATATATAGCATATTATGTGATTGTTGGTCAAATTATAAGAAATTGTTTAATAATAGACTTGGCCAATCATGTAATTGTTGGTCAAATTATAAGAAATTGTTTAAGAGTAGACTCAGCCAATAATATATCTGATATATGAAATGACTCTGAACACCATACAATATTTTAAAAATAAAAATAATCATTACTATCCTATTAATTATTGTTTGGGTTTGTTCATTATATAAGATCATACTTGAAAGTTGACTTGTAATATCTTTAATGGTTGAGGAGGGATAGGTCATATGTGGCTTGGCTTCAAACATGTCAACAAGTCCATTCCAACAATCAATTATTTTTTGAAAAGTACATTATTAATTTGTAATTTCTCCAATTTTTATCATCCATTTCTCAATTTTCTTGAAAAGATGTATGTTTGATTACAAAACCTTCTCAAGATAGATACAATACTTGAAAACAACAAAAGAGAGAGAAGAAAGGTTTTGCATGCGATTAATTAATTAATTTAAACTTGAAAAGGAACAAATGGAGCAGAGAGACAAGACAGGACTCAAAAAAGCTACTAATTTTCATGCATATTTGATGTCATCCTCACACGTCTTCCTCTACATATCCACTTCCAGGGTTGGTGCGCCAATTTTTCATTAAATTATATGATTAACTACAAATTATTATACAAAACAAATATTATATATATATATATATATATTATAAATTGATGTAACTAGTAATAATAAAACTTCAAAAAAAGAAAAAAAAAAGAAAAAGAAAGCACTCAATTTACTAATAACATGATAGTATCACGTTATTTTGTAAGAAATTTATACTAATTATTTGTTTGTTTGTTGTTGGTATTGGGAGTTTTTTTTTTTTTTTTTGGACTTTAGGAAAAAGGAAGTTGGAGACCATGATTAAAGGGGTTGAGTAAGACAGAGAGAGAGAGTGAGAGACGCTGCATTGTTGTCGCACTCAGCTCTCACCAACAACAGTGCCGTCCGTCTGATAGTCGAAAACACGAAACAGCACACACCAATAATACAATCAATTTTAGAATCAACAAATATATATATATATATATATATTTTGATGTAAAGCAAATATGAGAGAACACCTAAATTACATCAATGAGTAGGAATGTAACTTGAGTGGGCTCAACCCATGTAACTCGATTTTATTTCAAAACTTTTAGATCTTGAATAATATATTTTAAATTTGGTGTAAGCTTGGGCTGAAATTTAGAAGTTTGAATTAACTTTAGGTCAGGCTTGTGTGGAGAAATCAGACCAAAACTTGAACAACCCGAACTCTAAATTATATAAAAATACTAAATATACATATTGGTATAAAAAAAAAAATTCTCCCATCATATGCACGGAAGACCCATACCACCTCCAATTACAGGAGCAAATAATGTACTAATTAATTATTAAGAGATCATTAAGTAAGCAAATAATAAGAAGAAACCATACCAACCCAAGTTGATATTAATGACAAAAAACTAAAATTAAAAGAAAAAAAATTGTAGATAAAACAATAACAAGCATGAAAAAGACATGAGAGGTGTATGTTGGGTTGACCTTAATCAAGTCTCTCTCATATAACAAAAAAAGATAGTGATAATACAAGAAAAGAAAGTTGGGATAGATAGAAAGAAAGGAAAGAAAACCATGCAAATGGAGGCTACTCAACTCATCCATGCAATGTCTTTGTGGAGCCAAATTTCCACCAAATAGTGGAGAGAGAGAGTGAGTCTTGAGCTAGAAGAGAGAGAGTGGGAGACCAATGAGGGGATGTTGTGTTGTTGTGATTGTGTGGCCCTACAATAAGTGTGCCTTTTGACAAGCATTATGAGTGCTTGCTTTGGGGTTTTTTTTTTTTTTTTTTTTTGGTGTTAAAAAGAGAAATATGTGGGAAGGAAGAGAAGCGTTGTTTTTAAGCTGACTAATAACAAGAAATGGAAAGAAAGCCAAAAAAGAAAAAAAAAGGAAAAAGAAAACAATGAAAGGAAAAACATATAGAAAGAGTTGGAGAAGATATGGTGGGCAAGCATCAACAAAAGAGAAAAAGGAGAGAGAGAGAGAGAGAGCTTTGCTTGATGACAACCCTAACTTTTGTTGCACATCCATGTACACCTCACACACACCCCCACACAACCCTCCACCTCACACTACTTTTTCCTTTTCTTTTCTTATTTATTTATTATTATTTCTCTTAGCTCATTTGCATCATTTGCCTTGGATGCTCACATGGTTTTTTTTTTTTTTGGCTTTAACCTTGGCTTGTAGTTCATTTTTTTTTTTCCACTCACTTAGTTACTTTATTTATTTATTTATTTATTGGTGAACAATAAAGTTATCAGT